AGTTTGGCTCTCCAAAACGCATTCTTTATAATTAAATGCATTCAAAGTGTTTCAATTTTCAATGTAAGAAAATAATAAAATAATCTAAAGAAAACTAGTTAAAATAAAAGATAATAAAAAATAATAAATATTTTTGGAAGTAGTAAAATTAAGTGTTAAATAGAAAGATTGTTAGAGTACTTTAAAATTTTAACTCTTTAAATTTGTAGTTGCTCTCCAAATGATAGAATATGCTCTTTAAAAATAGAGAGCATGTTGGAAACGCTTTTACACTAAAAAATAATTTACAGAAAAACAAGTCCAACCACTGCCAATGTATGCAGCAGGAGAGCATTATTGCTCTTATTTATCTGCTTGAGGAGGATACTAGATGAGCCGCTGCTCACATTCAGCTGTCCAGCATTAACAAATTCATCCTTCCCGGAAGTTATAGAGACGTTCACAGACAATGAACCTGAAGAAAGAATTTCAGATGTAGAAGAATAAGCAACACGAAATTTCAACCTACCATAACATATTCTTAGCAAGACGAAACATAAGGAAATGAATATACGGCACTTACAATCATGATCTGCCCATCCTATTCTTTGATGAGCCAAATCATAAACAAAGATTTTATCTTTGAGAACAAGATCTGGAGACCAAAAAGCCACAGATAAGTTTCAGAGTCTCAATACTCTTGAGGTGACTTGGTTAGCAAAATTTTGAAAGTAACTATCCAAAAAATTACCTAGTTCACAATGTTAAATTGAATTCTACTTCACATATCGTGTTTAATGTCTATATTTCCTTGGGTTAGCAGTATATGCAAGTACACAAGTCAGCAAATTTATATTCCACCTACGGTGCACGTCCTCCTCAAGCATGCAACAACCAGTTCATGAGAACAAGAGGATGGCCAAAGCAACAGATTATTGTGTTCACCCCTGGAGCTTTGGCTTTCCAGAATATTCATGCTGCATGTAGTTTTAAAGGACAGAACCCCTTCTCCCCCCACCAACAAGCGAAAAAGAAAAAGAAAAAAAAAACAGAATAGATCCTTTGATGCCCACACAAAAGGAAAAGTACACTTGCAATCTCAATTCCCAAATGAAGGCAATACTGGTGTATATTTTACTCACATGCACACAGACATCTAGATATTTGGTCAATTTTTAGAAGCTTGCTAACAGTGTACGCCTTCATTTCAGAACAAGAAGCTTTTGACGGGTTATATAGGATGCTTTGACACATGAGCTAGAAGAACTGCCACCACCTCTGCACTTCTAGTTTGGGGGAAAATGAGATGAGTTGCTCAAGCTTGGACTGGTTCAATGGTCACCTTTTGTGGGTTTAAGCAACTAAAACAGTCTGGATGGAAGAGGGCATGGGGGAAGTGAGGACGATTTACTTAATAAATAGTCAAATCATTCAAATCAAATCAAACTAAACAATCAACACTAGGTTGCACAGTCAAACCTAGTAGAATTATTCCGAAATTCCAATTTAAAAATTGTAGAATATTTGTATGGTTAGTAATTTATAGTTATAAAAATGAATGGCACGGCACAGCTGTGGAGGCAAAATTCCAACTTTGCCTGTATGATGACTTCAAGGTACCATAATTAATGCTGCTTAGTTTTGTTTGTGATGAATCGATATTGATTGATAGGGTCCAATTTAAACTGAAGGTCATCATTTGGTGATAACGTAACGAAGACCAAGATTGAGCTACAACATTTGGGCCATTTGGCACATCACACTGAGCCTGTTTCAAGCTTGAAACTTCTAATAAGGTCACCTATGAAGCAACAACACTGGCTGAATTGCATGCCTGACTTCAGATAACTGGCTATGACTTCGTTACCTGATGGTTCACTGTGAGCTTTATTTTATTTTCTAGAATTTTAGTATGAAAGGTTCAGAGTCGCTTATGGCTTAAACCACAGATGTATAATCTATGAACTCAATAAACTACTTAAAACATCAAGAGTTGAAGAAATTGCAATAACTCGTAAAAGTTTCTAGAAGATCATCTTCTATATTTTTATTTTATTTTATTTTATTTTTTGACTTTGACTTAGATTAAAATCTGATTTAAATAAATACCAAACAGGGGCTAAGTATCTTAGTCCAGTAACCAACCTCCTAAAATTGTTGTCCCGGGAGATTTAACTTTAACAAAGCCAATGCACCACGTTGCATTACCATCCTGCAAGAATTAGTCAAAAGTAAGAATTTCACATCACGGACAAAAATGAAACTATAAGTTAACACTGATGGATAGCATGATCCAGAGTTGACTTTAAACAGATAATACTAGTCTTTCACAGGATATTAGGGAAGAAATAATTATGACGTGTAGAGACAACTGCAATACTTACAATGAATCCCATATGCACAAGGTAATTCTCTGGCCTTAAAACCATGGACACAGAACCAGCAAAATTTATAGAAACCGGAGGAAATATCTGAGCCATGCTGTGTAGGAACAAATACAGATCTTGATCAAGCGTCCAAGAAATGATAACTAATATATCATGAACCACTTGCCAAAATCGTTGAGACTTGAATAACTCTAAGAGAACTATCAATACAGTGTTGAATGAAAAGAACCTTGTGGAGACTAGATAGCACTGGTTTCCTTTTGAAATGATTGGCCTTGCAGATTGAGAAACAGCAGCAGTTATCTGCATAAACAGTAAGCAATAAGAAAAGATATGCTACTAAATTTATGCTAATTTTGAATAGTAAATTACTTCAAGCACAGTAAGAACATATCTTCACGCATGTGGGAAGAACTTTCATTAGACCTATTTAGTGGTTAGAAGAGATTTAAACCAGTTTATGAAATATGATAATGACACCTACCAAATTGACCAAACAAAAATAAATGGCCACCAGATCATTAAGTAAAATAAAGATTTTGTACTCTGGTTCGAGGTATTTGGTTCAGAAAGTTGATTTCAATCCCCTGGTTCCAGTGCTCAGGTATACAGTGAGTATTTAAGCTTAACTCAGACATCATCAAACTGGTATCTTCACCACTTCCCTTCTTTGTGAGTCCAATAATTACAACAAAAGGGGTGACAGAAAAGGGAACACGGGATGAAAACTTACAGCACCAACAAAGGGATCATAAGCTTCTTCAACAAGGTATGCTAAAGTAGTTCCAGAATCAACAATAGTCCTTCGGTTGCCTGAAGTCGTAAACACCGCTGGATCAATAGGCAATACCTGACCATTGACAGCAATGCTCTGTAGATATAAACTATAATGTGGCCTGAAAGATTGGAGGTAAAAAATCAACAATTTGCAAAATCATGATATGATATGATGTCTCAATATTTCTTAATTTTCTCGTGCTGGTAAAGAGAAACAAACAATAGAAAGCAAGAAAATTATCTCATCAGTATCTTATACGAAAGAGATGTGAGGGAACTGATAATGTGCATATACAAACTCTATGCGGTACAAGAAGCTTATTTTAAGATTTGTGATATGCATGCAAAATAAAATAGTTCCCATGCTGTAAAATATACGTACTGCGATGGAACAAGAGGAGTATAAACGATTCTCGAATCCAAAATCTCTCCAAGAACTAGTATACCTCCACCATTTCCCTCTCCTTTCAAGCAGTGGGAAAATACTTTAGGAGTAATCCCGTGTGATGACAATTGTGATATTACTGAAAGATCCTGCTGGCCAAAACCGAAGAGTCCATCAACGGCTGAATCTGATTTAGTCAAGTCCCCGGACATAGAGGTGCTGCATCTGTACCGACACATCAAAATAAACGTTTCAACCAAGATTCAAATTTTTATTGTTAAAAAACTATCATTGAAGGAACAACAAAAACAATTCTTAAGTGACTTGACAGATACATGACTTATGATATATCAAGGCCAAGGGGTCAAATGTTTAACAATTCAACTCTCTCACACTTTTGCTCCAATAGCTCATATGATCCAGAAAGACACAAATGCCCTTTAGTTCTGTTCTTACAGTAAGCAGCAAATAGTAGCCTTAAACTATCAAGTTGTCAGTTTCAATGCTAATTCTAACCAACTTGCAGGATCATGGAAGATATGTGGGGTAGCACTTTCTGTGCAACATTTTTGAGATTGATGCAGTCATTATATTCATTAGTTTTAACTACGTAGCAGTGAGTTTTTTTGGAGTGGGGGGAGGGAAACTTGTCATGGCCAATTTAAAAATACTAACTGAATCTTATGTCTATCTATTCTTATTTAAGTTACAGCAATTGATTCCAAATCCAAAGGTTTATGTGCCTCTGACCACGAGCAAGCATGCGTACAATAACTTAAAAGTCTCGGTAACAGCTCACCCAAAAACAATGGGAGCAGAAGAATTAGCAATTAATGAGGTTCCCAAAATTGTGTCCAAATAGAGCAGATCAGATACATAGAAACCAGCAGTGCCACTTCCATCTGCATATTGGAATGAGTAACCACACTGATTGCTTTGAGTAGAGCATTTGGCAGATGCAGCTTGGACTATAGAAGCACACCTTCTGTCCACACAGGAAATAGAGGATACTGTTGATGAGTTAGCAGCATCAAAGGAATTGAGCTCAACCTGAAAATGAAACTCAAATATCAGTTTGGTGTGAGTCAAACTGACCCGGTGAAGGAGCAAACAATGAGATAAAGGACAAAATCTTACTCCAAGTCCACTAGTCCGGGGGCAATTATTACAGGAACTGCAAGTAACCCACAAGACGTCGCTCCCAGTATCAATTTGCACGTTGAATTCTCTTGGAGGAGAACCCAATTTCACTTTGGTAAAGTACAGTCTACAGTTGAAGAATCGTTGATTAGAAAAGGAGAATATACGTTAACAATCAATGTTCACGTTATATTCGAAAAGATTATTAAATACAATACATTGAAACCAAAAAAGTGAGAGTATCAACATTCAAGAATGAAATCCGACAAATGGTATCTGACAATCAGGATTCAGGAAAGACTTTGACCGTTAAATACATACTATTTTTTTACTCGATATTGTTATTAATTGAAGTAATTGAAATTATTGAACATAAAGCTGCCGAGAAATATCAAGATCACATTTTTTTCTGGCCCATTTATGAATTGATTCCAAAGACTTGCGAATTTCTTGCACTTACTATTAATTTATTAAAGCCACCAAAAAGAAGAATTAAAGAGAAATAATAATTTATTTTCCAAATGGAAGTAAAAAATTTAAGTCCTGATATTTTTAAGAGCCAAATATTTGTAATATACATCACAAAAAAGTTAAAAGGCGTAATAAAATTACCCGGCGAGATAAGGATCCGAGGTACCAACTACTGGGAAATCGGCGATGCCACCGGCAAAGCTCTGCATGATTCGAGAGTGCCTAGCTCGGTCCCGAGCTTTCAACACCTCCAGCTCCACCTTCTGGTCCGCCGGAAACGCCCTCTCCAGAGTCAGCACTCTCTTGACACTGCTGCCACTCGCTGCCGACATAAAGACAGCGGCCGCGACGGCCATCACCAAGAACCTCAAGTCCACCATTGCCGGCACTCCAAAATCCCACTGTATGTGTATAACCAATATGGGTACGTGTAAAAGTATGTATAAAATGAGAATGAATTGCAGAGGTTATAAACAATAAAAATGAAAGCATACAGTTTCCTTCTAGAGAGAAAGCTTTGCAATACTTGTCCGAACAAGAAATCAGAATATATAGGGATTAAGATGATCAGTACGAGGTGGCGTATGACGTAATTGAAAAGTCAATAATAGTCATAGGTGAAGTGCATTAAGCATTTAAGCTGGGTTTAGCGAGGGTAATTTGGGGATGATTAGAGGTTAAAAATTAAAATAGTGTTAATACATACATATATTTTATGAAGGAATTAGGATAAAAGGAATAAAATAAGTGGACTAAATTTGTCGACGTAAATTGGTTTTGGTCCTTGTATAAATGTCTGATTAACATGATTTTTGCTTTTATTTCTAAAAGGGGTTTTTGCAGGAAACTATTTCGATTGATTGGAAGTTCATTTTTAAAAAAATTTCTATTACGGAAATAATTTTATAAGAAGCCATATTAGACTAACTTTCTTTAAATGTCCTTTTAACGAGAAGAAATACTTTCATAAAATTAATCAAATAAATTCAATATCAGTTTTTAGACCTCAAAAGTTTCTTTTAACTTTTCAAAAGTCATGTCAATCTGGTCCTTACACGCTTGAGTTTCATGTTATTGTTTAAACGCGAAAATTAATGACAGACGTTTACTTGCTAAACATATTTAGTACATTAAATAGAATAATGCAAATTGTAATTTTAATCCGTTTATATGAACTTTCTATTTATTCCTTTAACGAGACATGCTATTCTTGCTTCTATAATTAATAAATCATGTTTGTTACCTAATTGATGTGACGATTTGCTTCAATTAAAGGATGAGTTTGTGACAAATATTTTCAGTTGACAACTTAATGCCTAAGTTTACTACCACCATATAAAGATGGAACTTGTTTTCATTGCAAAAGCATTAGTCTCAAGGTACATGTCTTCTTCATATCCCTTTTTCTTTTTCCTTTTATCTTTTTGTGGGTAGGCATACTCGCTCATTCATATGGGTAGTGGTGTGTTTGTGTATTTGGCGCAACAATAATTGAAACCTTCGTTTGGTTTAGTAACATTCAATTTAGAGTAATGCTATTCATAGTCGCTCACTGCAGTAGTCGCTTTATGTGGCACGCACATGGCATGTGGTTATTTGATGCATTAATGTAGTGATTTTTTTACCACATTAATGTATTAAATACACACTTGACATGTGTCTGACACATATGACGACTGCAAATAGCATTATTCTTCAATTTATGTTAGATAATATGTACGTTATTATCTTGTACTGAATAATAAGCATGTCTCAAATCAAACTCATCGTGAATATTAGTTTAGCTAAGTCGATTTCATTTGATTTTAAACTTGTGTGTGTGAAACTTTTTCTCCGATTCTATACCGTCTGAATACAAATGATGTATAATTAATTATTTTTTCATTGAGAGAGTAATCGTGTTGTTTATTTGCTACATTTTTTTTTTTAATATGGATGGATGGGGACAATTCTTCCACTTTAAAAAGTTACAAGCCCTTTTGTCTTTTGAGATTATAACTTTCTTTTATTCGATCAAAATAGCTTGTGACAATTCTCTCTTCATTTCCCCTTTGAATGAAACAATCTTTACAAATTGAATTTGAAATTGGATTCTCAAATCACTTTCTAAAACCATTGTTAGTTTGTTATTTACTTTTTTATGCCTATCCGCTTCTCTCGTCTGATTCTTCCGGCGAAGAATATAGTAACGAAGCATAAAGAGTAGAAAAAAGTATTCATACGAACGACTTCAAATCTATTAACTACAAGACTTAATTTATTATATTTATTACGCGTAATCTCTTGTATTATTTATTGTTGGAAGGTATCAATTAAGGATGGATAATGGATGAAGTGTAAGCATAAAAACTTCATTTTCCATCAAGATTATCTAATCTGAAAGAGAAATAAAATTTCCATGTTATCTTATGTCGACATCACCTTTATTCCTTTGATAATTTTTCTATAAAATGGGGCCACCCTAAGTATTTTAAATAATATATGTGGTGAAGTACAGTTAATCATGCCTAAATTGGATGATTTGATTATTTTGGCTCCAACTCACATCTAAGCCAGTGCACGACTTATCTTTTTCGCCTAGCAACTAATCTTTGCAATATGTTTGAAATTGTAGATTGAACACGAAATAATAATATTTATATTTTACATATATTGTACAATTTAACGGATTACACTTTCTCCGAGTATTTAATATCAACAATAGTTTTATTTATATTTCTCTAAGAGTGTGTTTGATTGGCTTTATTTTTCATGAAAAATATCATTTTTTTTTCATTGAAATTCCTATTTTTTGGGTGTTTGAATGATAATTTTTTCATGAAAAATATTTTTCAGCTTTTGGTCACGTTACCATATTTTCCTCAAAAATAAGAAAAATATTTTCTTTAAAGAATGGTGGTTTTTATTTTCGAAGTAATTCTGTATCTCTCTTTCCCCCTCTCATCTATCCACCAATAAAAAATGTAAAAATATAATATTTTCTAAGTTAAAAACCATATCAATCAAACACAATTAATTAATAATTTTCATACAAATAAATTATGAACAATTGAATTCTCTAAAATTTATTTTCTTTCCATACAAATTTCATACTCACAATTAAGCGCACACTAATTGTCTAGTGTAACAGACACTATAAATGATAAATATCATTCCATAATTACCAATTTTCCTATCTTTTCTGATTTTTTTTTTTTATTTTACTTGGATATTTTCAGCTGTACTGTAACCTCCATGTAATTTTCAGTTTTTAATTTCGTTCATAGGTAAGACTCAAATTTTCCCAAGGCACCTCGCCAACCAATTTGAACCAAGATAGGCCCAAAAATCCACCGTTAGTGTGGACCTTACAAACAGAACAGCCTCACCCTCATGTCCAAGTGATGCTCCACATCTAATCGACCATTCATTCTACTTACTTTTGCTCTCAAATTAGCATATAAATACCTTTTTAATCAGTATTTTTCACAGCATAGAACAAATAAGACTTCGGACAAAGATTTTTACTTAAAACTGTTTAATCCATATAGCTGATGGCAACGAATTCAGATTATTAAGTTATTGAAATGAATAATGTTACGTAGCATTACTCTACTCAAAATGTAAAGTATACATGATTAATTTTCCATAAGCATCCATTGAAAGTGAAACGAAAAACTCAGGAAGTTACAATTGCAATTTGCAACACCACATACGGAAAATGAAAAACTAATGATCAGGTTCAGTTCACATCTGAATATGTCCGTTAAACAGTACTTTGAAGACGGCTCTAACTTTGTTGAAGGGAAACAAACTGGCAACAAAGATTACATGACAATTTTTGCCTACTAAATGATAAAGCAAACATAGTTCAGAGGAAGTGAGAATGTATAATTTCATATGGAAGCAAGAAACATAATAGTATCACGGCTCAGCTGGTTACAGATGTCTTCATGGCAAGGTGGGTAAGTGCGCGTTTATGGTACATCTGCCGTAACTTCTTATATTTATGTACAAAAGCCGTAAGATCAATCTCCCCGTCCAGAAGTTGCCTATGGACGGCCTCAGATTCCTCGTCACTTTTATGCATTGCCTCTGAAACAAGAAATATAAATTACTTTCTTTTAATTTTCTAACAAACTATTTTACATTTATGTCGATGATTCATTAAGATAGAATCATAAAACCACTAACAAGATCAAAAAAATTCCTTAATATTATTATGACGGTAAGAAGAAAGAACAAAAGCTAACACCTACATAAAGAGCGAAGCGGAAAATGCACGTGTAATTCTAATTCAGATTATTAAAGTCAAAACACTCTCGACACCAATCAGTCAGAAACCCACCTCTATCCCATTCCCCACCACCAAAAGGTTTCCCTTGCTCACATGAGAGTGACCATGTCAGAAACTGACAAAAAAGGTTCGCCCTTCCTTGTGTGTATTCACAGGGAAAACATCTATTTGAGGGTTCAGTCTGCAATTTGGACATAACATAGCAGGCTTGTTCGAGATATGCTTATTTGGATGATTATCGTGGAAAGAGAGAACAATAAAGCTGAGTGTTGCAAAGTCTACATAATGCCGACATCATGGAGACACGAAGTAATATAACCAATTACTGAGGAACAAACAAGTGTGAAGGAGGACTTCAATAGCGGGAAAACATTTCTGCAGCAGCATAGGGGACTGAACTTTGATGAGGTGATCTTAACAAGTTACATCAAGTAAATTCAGGGAATTGTTTTTACTGGATATGTACATGTCTGCATGATGTAGTTAACTAGAAAAATGGTCCAGTACACTGGAACGAATAAAACCTTATCAGAGTTGGTGGAACAGGCTTGATCTTGTTGTAAAAGTTAAGAGAGTTTGCTAATGCAAATGTCTTGCATTGGTTCTATAGAGATAGAGGATGCTTACAGCTGTATAATTACAACTTTCACCCTTGCAAATGCAAAAATGCCCATAGGCTATCTCCATCAACCTTTTATGCTCTTGAGGAGAAGAATACTATTATTGAATTTTTTATTTTATTATTATTATCATTTTTTTTTTAAGAACCAAAACCTGACAAACCTCTAATTAATGGACCATCTTACCATTTCCCAACTTTAAAAGATTCAAAGGTAAATGAAATGCCTAGTTGTGTACCTTGAAGTTTATGAAGAAGGGAAGCAGGAGAATAATTCTTCAAAGTCTCTTCTTTTTTTCTCTCTAATTCATGCAGCTTTTCTTGAGCAGTAGCCAGCTCAGTTGTTCGAATAATTCTGCACTGTACTTAGGAAAAGAAGAGTTGATAAAATAGTTCCACAATCAGCATACGTTCAAACTCAAGGGAACTTCACAAAATCAAAGCTAGGAATATGACCTGATTCCTTAATTCCACCATGCGTGGTTCTTTTTGTAGATTTTCTCCTACAAAACAAGATCATTTATAGAAGTACTGATCTGTATGCTTGATATAGCAGCTTAATAACATTCTCAATGCAGAATTGACAATGAAGTAAATTAAGAACTTACTAGCAAGCTGCAGCGATTCGCTCTGAAGTTCATCTCGAACCTGATTACGTAATAATTTACAGGATGTAGAGCGTGTCAAGCGTAATTGCACACATCAACACAAAAATGACCATCTTAAGTGAATACAGTGTTAAGAAACAAAACAATACAGGGTCTCTGTGCCTTTAATCATGAAAAATAACAAACATGGACCGAGTAAATCATATTCCTTATGAGGTAGAAAGTTGAAAGTTGGATATGAAGTGTTCAGGGGAAAAAAACAGAGGACACGAGGAAAGCCGAACTCTACTTTTTTCCAATTGAGTTAATATTGTAAATGGATCACATGAAATAAGAGAAATTTCCCCAGTTTTATGAAAATTGACGTGCATCGAACTCAAGTATCAAAATCTAACATTGATAAGGGATCACTTATCCGATTACCAACTGATACAGTTCCATCTACATTTTCAATACTCTTACAGGTTTTCTAGACCATCAACCCTAATTACAATTTATTTTCACATGGGGAAGCTATAATCTTTATGAACCAATATTGTAAACAAAATTTCTGTAATTGCATTTTCTCCGAAACAGTACAAGGTTTTAATACAGTAGTCAAACATCATTTTATGCACTGGATAAATGTAAAATAGAAATTATAATTCACCTGCAACTTCAAATATTCATTTCACTGACTTCTACATAACCTACCTAGTTATGAACTCAGTAAAATCTATTAAGAATTAATTGTTGAAAATGACGGCCTAGAGCAACAAGAAGAAAGAAACAAATATGACAAGAATAGAAAGATCCAACAATCACAACTTACCCTGTCTTGAGTTTTAACGGGTTCAAGTGAAAGCAAGAGGCTCTGATAAGCACTCTTGTCCGACAAAAGCTTCCGAAGCTCATCAACACTAAACATGTTAAACAACAATCCATCAAAGATTTACACGACATCAACAAAGAGTAGCATGATATATTAATTTATAAATTTGTGTATCAAGAATAATGGTTTCATTGGCCATCTAAAAATTTACAAGGCAAGTCTTTACCTTTTATCTTTCAACGTAGCGATGATGCCAGAAGCCTCTGCAGGTGAAACATTTGATAAAGAATTTGCTCGATCAGCAGGTCTTGGTACGCTGAAGCTGCTTGAAGAACCTCCACTAGGTGTTGTGGGTTGTGAAGAACTCGAGCTGACAACAGATGGTGGATACCAAGAATCTCTGGGCATTTCCTGTGGATGTGGCTGAGCTTGCTGCTCCTGAGAACCCCTGTGATAAATGCAGTTAAAGCATAAAAGCAAACATTAACAGCAAGCATATGCAGTTTCAAACTAGACAATGAGGAAATATGTTAACAAAAAAAAAACCAAGAACTAATAAAAAGACTTTCAACAACTTGTTTCGGGTCTAAAGTCCCATCTCCCTTCAGGACTACAGATGATTATCTGTTCAAGGCTTCAAGTTTCTACATGACTGACTAGATCACAAAATGAGTAACTCAATGCCAAACAGATCGAGAAGGCAGAGCACATAGGAATGTAACAGCTAATGCTATATCAATCTTCGTTCCCAGGCTTGTAACACAATGAACAGTGCAACATTTGGATATGTGATTACTCTTGCTTAGAGCAGTATATTCCCCTCTCACCCCTTCTTCTCTCTTCATTTTCTCCTTCCAAGTTAATCGGGGAATCCTACACATATATCAGCTAATGTTCCTTGATTTCCTACAATTCTTAAAACTTGAAGTAGCGATGAGCATAGACAATGCTAAATTCCATAATCAGAAAACAATGTTCACTGGATAAGTAAATAAAACCAAGAGTTCACCCGTTTCCCAAATATATACAGAATAAAAGATTACGAACTTATGAAATGCACAACCCTAAGGCTTCCCCTTCTCAAGAAAATTCTTAAACACCAATCACGATAAAACATATCACTACTTCATAACCTTGACGTGTTAATAAAAGAAACAATAAACTTTGGTAGATTGTATTATCAGAAAAGCAAACAATTTTTAAAATATTGCTGCCCTAATATTACGTTTTGCATAAAATTTCAGGGATTAAAGTACTTAGAAATATAGCACAAATTTAACCCATAAAAAATACAAAGGAAACGGTGAAAATTGAATGAATACCAGAATTTGAACATATCTTCGAAGCGGTCTCAATCGTCGATCCTTCAACGCAAGAGAATCGTACCTCAGAGAGATAATCTGCTCGCCTGATACACCAATTTTTCTTTTATATCTTCAACGTTGAATCTGAAGCGCGTTTCAGGTTGTGTTTTACCCTTTCTTCTTCTCTACTCTTTCTTTATTTTCTTTTTTTAATCCTACGGTCCTATGCCCATACCCCCGTGGTTCTTGAGCGTTTTACGGTTCAATTATGCTACTTGTACGACAACTTAGATAACGTTTGAAGGATTACGTCATGAATGACAGTATGCAGATGTGGCGATTTTCTATTGGTCGGTGGAATTTTTTGGTCTACCAGCCAATGAACAATCGCCACCTTTACATTCGACCACCGACGCGGTAAATCCAGATGTACGAATATCATCTCTCTTGAATGTTTGAAGTGTTAGAGAAATTATAAAGTCACTCAAACAGGGAATTCAGACAGGGATAAAAAACAGATACATGTGGCGCCACCTGACTTGCTGGTTTTTCTTTTAAATTTTCCCATCCCCCAATGATTTGATGCCAAGTGTGTCTGTATCCAATACTCTGTTTTTTGGTCCTATTTTTCTAGCACTGTCCAATAACTTTTCCTCACTTAATCTTTACGCGAAATTTTCCCATCCCCCAATGTTTTGATGACAAGTGTGTCTGTATCCAATTCCCTATTTTTTGGCGCTTTTTTTCTAGCACTGTCCGAGAAATCAATAATAAAATTGTGTATCACCCAGATTCACATCATGCAGAATGCATATTTATATCATGTACACCCAAATTCAGATCATGAGTAACCTAATGCAGATGTGGTGATTTCTCAGTGGGGGGACATTGGTTTTTTGTCTACTAGTCAATGAACAATCGCCCCTTTGCATTGGTATGTTTGATACCCATTTTTTGAAGATAAAAATTTTAAAATAGTGATTGATGGGAGAATGTGCGGTGGAAAAGTTATGAAAAATTTTAGATTTGTGTGTAGTATTATTTTAGGAAAAAGTTATTTGTACTTGCGCTTCTACCCGTTGGTTTACCATGTGACGTGTAAATGTTGATTTTTCCTTTTTTTTCCAACCAAAAAATGGCAGTACATTTGGGTCGGATTTTACACTTGGGCCAATTCAATAAATACCCGTCAATGAGTACCCGCTAATCAAGAGCATGAAGGAGTGCCGGGTTATTCAAAATTAATCAAAATATTGCCCGCGAGATCTCTTGTTTCCAAAAAATTGAAACCTAATAAAAACATCCATAACTCGTCGCCGGCGCAACAAATAGTTTATTTGGAAGCAATCGCCGGAACCATCAATTCGAATAGATGACAAACAAAGGTGGCTTACTTCGAGCAGCCAGCAAACAAGTGACCCTTCTCTCAACAGCTATGACAAATTCCATAGTTCTTTCCTGGCATACTACACATAAACGAACTAGATAAGTGGCTACATTACAACACACCCACAAAACACTGTAAAATCTTCAAAAATCCGTATTATTCGAGTAAATCAAAATCGAGTACAGTGGATACCAAATACATCATGCTTACATGATGTTTGCTGCGAAATTCTGCCGGAGTCAATGGATGGTGTCGAAGATTGAAGATGTTGCTACGAAAAAATTAAGATGCGATTAAAAGTAAATTACCAACCGACGATTAAGCTACAGGGGGAAGCCCAAACATGGAGGCTGAAATTACATTAAGCATCGGCTTCTTATTCCGGCTGCGAGGTTGAGGAGAACCGGATTTCGAATGCGAGATGGAGGAGTGCTGTTGGGAGATGGAGTTTCAAGGGTTTTCTGATTTGGGCATACCAATTGGGGGTAATGACTAATGGGTGAATTAATAATGGGTGTTGGTTTTTTTTTAAAAAAAATAATCAGGAGCTTGACATGTCACCGTGTCAATCAAAGTGTAAAAGAGCAGGTACGAATAGTGCGATCGATTATTTTATTGGAAGAATGTGGGGTTGAAATGAAGTAAGAGAAAAAAAATGAGAATGAGATAGAGAATGGGTGCCAAACATGGGTATGTCACACGGGTAGTAAATCTAGATGTATGAGTAGTATCTCTCTTGAGTGTTTTAAGAATTGAAGAAATTAATGATAAAATTATGTGCCACATAATACAATATAAAACAGAGTGTCAACTATAATGTAAGTGTAGCAAAATTGTTTATGGTTTTAGCTCAAAGTCGAGTTTCTTTTTGGTCCCTAAATAGCTCAATTTAGACCATGTCCAATGGTGTAACACTAATCCCTGTTTGTTATCCTTTATTTTAGAATTTTTTTTTACATATTAATTTTTAACCACATAATCATACAATAAAATATTCAACACGTAAATTCAAAATTTTTCACTTTTAACCACACATTCTTTAAAAACTAACTATTTTAATTTTTTTTTTTGGCAAATAAGGGATATCAAACATGGACTAAATTAGGTGTAATTTTTCGTGTATATCATTTGAGATAGTTTTACACTAAATTTTATTTTGAATTATTTAATTACATGAGCGTTTTACGGTTCAATTATGCCACTTGTACGACAACTTAGATAACGTTTGGAGGATTACGTCATGAATGACAGTATGCAGATGTGGCGATTTTCTATTGGTCGGTGGAACTTTTTTGGTTTACCAGCCAATGAACAATCGCCACCTTTACATTCGACCACGGACGCGGTAAATCCAGATGTACGAATATCATCTCCTTAAATGTTTGAAGTGTAAGAGAAATTAGGAGCTTGTTTGATAGGGATTATTGGGGGGGGGGAATTGATTTTAAATAGTGATATGATGGGAAATGTGTGGTTGAAAAAGAAGAAAAAATTATTCATGTGATGAAAAATATTATTTTATTGAAGAATTTGTGGTTGAAAATGAGAATTGATTTATTGTAGAAAATGAGAATCCTTACCAAACATGTCCTAGGATAAAATCACTCAAACATGGAATTCAAACAGGGATAAAAAACAGATACATGTGGCGCCATCTGACTTGCTGGTTTTTCTTTTAAATTTTCTCATCCCCCAATGTTTTGATGACAAGTGTGTCTGTATCCAATTCCCTGTTTTTTTGCCCTGTTTTTCTAGCACTGTCCGAGAAATTAATCATAAAATTGTGTATCACCCAAATTCACATCATGCAGAATGCAGATTTATATCATGTACACCCAGATTCACATCATGAGTAACCTAATGCAGATGTGGTGATTTCTCAGTGGGGGGACATTGGTTTTTTGTCTACTAGTCAATGAACAATCGCCCCTCTGCATTGGTGTGTTTGATACCCATTTTTTGAAGATAAAAATTTTAGAATAGTGATTGATGGGAGAACGTGCGGTGGAAAAGTTATGAAAAATTTTAGATTTGTGTGTAATATTATTTTAGGAAAAAGTTATTTGTACTTGCGCCTCTACCCGTTGGTTTACCATGTGACGTGTAAATGTTGATTTTTCCTTTTTTTTTCCAACCAAAAAATGGCAGTACGTTTGGGTCGGATTTTACACTTGGGCCAATTCAATAAATACCCGTCAATTAGTACCCGCTAATCAAGAGCATGAAGGAGTGCCGGGTTATTCAAAATTAATCAAAATATTGCCCGCGAGATCTCTTGTTTCCAAAAAATTGAAACCTAATAAACATCCATAACTCGTCGCCGGCGCAACAAATAGTTTATTTGGAAGCAATCACCGGAACCATCAATTCGAATAGATGACAAACAAAGGTGGCTTATTTCGAGCAGCCAGCAAACAAGTGACCCTTCTCTTGACAGCTATGACAAATTCCATAGTTCTTTCCTGGCATACTACACATAAACGAACTAGATAAGTGGCTACATTACAACACACCCACAAAACACTGTAAAATCTTCAAAAATCCGTATTATTCGAATAAATCAAAATCGAGTAAAGTGGATACCAAATACATCATGCTTACATGATGTTTGCTGTGAAATTCTGCCGGAGTCAATGGATGGTGTCGGAGATTGAAGATGTTGCTGCGAAAAAATTACGATGCGATTAAAAGTAAATTACCAACCGACGATTAAGCTACAGGGGGAAGCCCAAACATGGAGGCTGAAATTACATTAAGCACCGGCTTCTTATTCCGGCTGCGAGGTTGAGGAGAACCGGATTTCGAATGCGAGATGGAGGAGTGTTGTTGGGAGATGGAGTTTCAAGGGTTTTCTGATTTGGGCATACCAATTGGGGGTAATGACTAATGGGTGAATTAATAATGGGCAGGGTCACGTTTGATCCATAAGTGTTGGTTTTTTTTAAAAAAAATAATCAGGAGCTTGACATGTCACCGTGTCAAGCAAAGTGTAAAAAAGCAGGTACGAATAGTGCGATCGATTATTTTATTAGAAGAATGTGGGGTTGAAATGAAGTAAGAGAAAAAAAATGAGAATGAGATAGAGAATGGGTGCCAAACATGGATATGTCACACGGGTAGTAAATCTAGATGTATGAGTAGTATCTCTCTTGAGTGTTTTAAGAATTGAAGAAATTAATGATAAAATTATGTGCCACATAATACAATATTAAACAGAGTGTCAACTATAATGTAAGTGTAGCAAAATTGTTTATGGTTTTAGCTCAAAGTCGATTTTCTTTTTGGTCCCTAAATAGCTCAATTTAGACCATGTCCAATGGTGTAACACTAATCCCTGTTTGTTATCCTTTATTTTAGAATTTTTTTTTTACATATTAATTTTTAACCACATAATCATACAATAAAATATTCAACACATAAATTCAAAATTTTTCACTTTTAACCACACATTCTTTAAAAACTCACTATTTTAAATTTTTTTTTTTTTTTTTGGCAAATAAGGGATATCAAACATGGACTAAATTCGGTGTAATTTTTCGTGAATATCATTTGAGATAGTTTTACACTAAATTTTATTTTGAATTATTTAATTATAAATTATATTATTGCAAAAATTATTAAATTAGAAATTATATTTAATGAATT